TAGGGACGGAAACTGGAAATTCATCAGGGTCCTTTCTCAGCTCCCGTTCTACTTCTCTCTGCATATCTACTTCCCTCTTCTGTCTTCGAGGATCAGCTTTCTCCACTTCCCCATCCATATGCCAGAATATGGCGGCATCTAGAACCTAAGTTATGCGACAGGTGTAGCCACACATAGAGTCCAACTTTCGGTCTCTTGGTCTCAATTCCGAATCCTTGCACAAGAATCTAAATGGCCTCCTTTAGCTCCATTGTCTGTCTCCCTCAATTCAATCAACAGTGACTGGAGGGGCAGTGGCCAGTGGTACAAACCTGATGGCAGATCCATCACCTCGGTTCAGAGCTCAGTCCTCAGGCAGTTGGAGATGGTTGTGGGCTGAGAAGATGCTCCAAAAGACGATGACTTCCCATTCACTGTGAGGCTCATGCCTCACTTTCCCCATCTACACTAAGAGGAATCCTACCTATAATATCCCCTGCTTGTAGTGAAGGCAGAGGGAACTAACATGTACTGCCTTCTCTTCATGCACCAGCCACTGTAGTAAGTTAGCCAGGTTATCTTAGCTGCTCCTGGAAACAACTCTAAGAGGCGGGCATTTCCCGCCCCCCCCCCCCCATCTTTATAGGGAAGGAAATTGATACTCACAGAGGCTAAATCTCATAGCTGGTCACTTGCAGAGCTCAGATGCAAACCGAGGCAGCGCAGCCAGTGCGGAGGCGGGGGAAAGAGCTCTTTGTAAGACTGAGATGACACCTGGAAGCTGTGCATTACATTCCCGGCTATTGATAAATTGCATGGGACAGTACCTTGCATGTAGTAACCGCTCAGAATTAGAAGTCTCATGAATGAGAGCACCTGACCCTTCAATTACAGCAGAAGTCGTATCACCCTGGCGTGTTCAGCTTACACTGATCTACCAAACACTTCTGGGAAGTGGGCTCCCATCTGCCTTAAGGGACTTCTGCCAAGACACATTGGATTAAAAATGAAAAGAGATGAAAACAGCAGCAGATACCTGTTTTGACTGTCATTGATGTTCAGCCACCTTTTGGTGCAACAGTGCAATGGATTAAAGAGCTTCTAAAGCTGCCATCGCTGCTTCTTGTTGAGGTGTGAATTTTCCAGCTTCCGGGCCTGTTTTCACAGTGTCTTTAGAATGTATCCATGTGCTCTGATCTGCTGACCTTCTGAAGCTAAATATAACTCTTTTTGATTGGTGCTGAGCCCATGCACAGAGCTCAGAGTCTCCGCGTAAATGTTTGCTGAACGAAAGGTTTGTCAACGGGTAATGATTAATCACCTACTGTATTCTCAGCCCTGAGAATGTTAAACCTCTAAGAAAACAATGCATGCCTCTGAGAGCAAACAATCTTTTCTGCGCGATCAAAAACCAAGAAACCAATTAGTAGGGCAATGCAAATCAAAGCCACAGTGAAATACCTCCTCATACTCACTGGGATAACGATACTAAAAAAAAAAAGGGGGGGGAGGAGGTGTGGAATTAAGGGTTGTCAAGGATGTGGAGGAATTGGAACCCTCATACATTGCTGGTGAGAATGTAGAAAGGGGCAGTCACTGTGGAAAACAATTTGGCAGTTCCTTAATAAGTTGAACACAGAATTACCAAGTCACCCAACAAGTCTACTCCTACCCAGGTATACACCCAAAAGAATTGAAAACAGGTGTTCAAACAAGAGCTCACACAAATATTCACAACAGCCCTCTTCGCTGTAGCCAAGAGGTGGAAACCACCCAAATGTTCAGCAGCTGTGAATGGATAAACAAAATGTGGTATATCTAGGTGGCTCAGTCAGTGGGCATCAGACTCTTGACTTCGCCTCCGGTCATGATCTCACAGTTCATAAGATCGAGCCCCGCATCGGGCTCTGTGCTGACAACACGGAGCCTGCTTGGGATTCTCTCTCTCTCTCTCTCTCTCTCTCTCTCTCTCTCTCTCTGTTCCTCTCTTCCTCTCTCTCAAAACAAATAAGTAAACTTTTAAAAATGTGGTATATCTATACTATGGAATATTATTCAGCCATAAAAAGTAAGGTAATACTCATACAGGCTCCAACATGGACAGTAACGCTGTGCTAACTGAAAAAAAGCCGTATGCAAAAGGCCACATATTATATGATTCCGTTTCCATTCAATGTCCAGATCGATTTCTTTATATATATAATATAAGCTTAAAGACTGTAAAAGCTATGACCAGACATGAGAATGTCAATGTCACACACGTTGTCATTCTGTGTGGGTATTCCATCAGATGGCCTTTCTTCTGAGAGGGAGAATCAGGACACATTAGCCTTGGAGCTGCTGTTGGAAATCGGTCCATCTGCTTATTCTAATTGAGTTCAGAAAAGAAATACCACCAGATCCACGTATTGATATATCAGTAACTTCATTGGCAAATGTATACACAAGACCCTAGAACTATTTATGTGTTATACTTTGGGCTACACTTCCATTGTGTTTTTTTTTTTTTTAATTTTTTTTCAACGTTTATTTATTTTTGGGACAGAGAGAGACAGAGCATGAACGGGGGAGGGGCAGAGAGAGAGGGAGACACAGAATCGCAAACAGGCTCCAGGCTCTGAGCCATCAGGCCAGAGCCCGACGCGGGGCTCGAACTCACGGACCGCGAGATCGTGACCTGGCCGAAGTCGGACGCTTAACCGACTGCGCCACCCAGGCGCCCAACACTTCCATTGTGTTTTTTAAAATAGTGTTATCACGACTCACGGTCTGTCTCCTGTACTCTATGAATCCACCCCCTTCCAAGAAGACTTTTGAATCATGTTCATTTATCTAAGAGCCTTATAATCGGGGAGTTCTTTTTTCCTTTTTTTATTATTGAAGTATAATTGATGTGTCACATGATGTTCGTTTCAGGTGTAAAACATAATGATTTAATATTTGGATACATGGCAAAATGATCACCACAGTAAGTCTAGCTAACATCAATCACCACACACAGTTACATTTGTGTGTGTGTGTGTATGTGTGAGATGAGAACTTTTAAGATCTACCCTCGTGCGGCGCCTGGGTGGCTCAGTGGGGTGAGCATCCCACTTCAGCTCAGGTCATGATCTCATAGTTTGTAAGTTCAAGCCCCGGTCGTGCTCTGTGCTGACAGTACAGAGCCTGCTTGGGATTCTCTCTCTCTCTCTCTCCTCGCCCTCTGCCCCTCCCCCACTCATGCTTTTTCTTTCTCTCTCTCTTTCTCAAAATAAATGAAGAAACTTAAAAAAAATCTAGTCTCTTAACAGCTTTCAAATGTACAGTATAATATTATTAACTGCAGTCACCATGCTCTACAGTACATCTCCAGGACTTACTTATCTTAAGACGGAGAGTTGGTACTTCTGATCACCTTCACCCATTTTGCTCATTCCTCTACCCCCTGCCTCTGGCAGCCACCAATCTGTACTCTCTGTCTACGAGTTGTTTTGGGGAAGGAGCTTGATCCATAAGCTTGATCCATAAGCTTGATCCATAAGCAAGATCATACTGGAATTTGTCGTGTTCTGTCTGACTTATTTCACTTAGCGTAATGCTCTCAGGGCCCATGCATGTCGTCCCGAATGGCAAGATTTTCTTCTTTTTTGTGGCTGCATAATATACCGTGTCTTCTTTGTCTATTCATCCGTCAGGGGACACGTAGGTTCCTTTCACGTCTTGGCTATTATAAATAATGTTGCAAAGAACGCGGAGGTGCAGAAGCTTTTCAAGTTAGTGGGGCTTTTTCCTTTCCGATAAATATCCCGAAGTGGAATTGCTGGATCATATGGTGGTTCCATCTTTCATTTTTTAAGGAACCTCCATACTGCTTTCCGCAGTGGCGGCACCAATTTACATTCCCACCAAAAGTGCCCGTCCCTTTTCTCTGCGTCTTTGCCGATACTTGTTATTCTTGTCAAGTTCTTTCTTATAGTGGTTGTTCCTTGCACTTGTCTGTATAGAAAAATTACCCTGGGGGCGCCTGGGTGGTGCAGTCGGTTAAGCATCCGACTTCAGCCAGGTCACTATCTCGCGGTCCGTGAGTTCGAGCCCCACGTCAGGCTCTGGGCTGATGGCTCGGAGCCTGGAGCCTGTTTCCGATTCTGTGTCTCCCTCTCTCTCTGCCCCTCCCCCGTTCATGCTCTGTCTCTCTCTGTCCCAAAAATAAATAAAAAACGTTGAAAAAAAAATTACAAAAAAAAAAAAGAAAAATTACCCTGACCGTTGAAATAGATCATTTGGGGGGTATCTGGCCAGCTCAATAACCACCTTTCATTGAGGGTATCTCCATCTTCATGTGCCAGCTACGCTTGTAATTGATGACCCTGTGTTGCTGGCCGTGAATGGACACCTGACCTGAGGTGAAGCAATCAGATTGGAGTTGGCATTCAGAGTTGAATGAATGACTCCCTTCCAGGTGAACTGGGGGTTATGGAAAACGATGAGCAGAGGCTGCCATCATGGAAAGCCATTCTCATCCACATCTAACTAGAGAGAAAGTGGACATTTAAAGAGAAGGGAACAGATGTGCAAAGTCAGAGGGGGAAAGCCATCTGGCCAGAGAGAGAGAATGAGGTGGAGGCAGGGAGGGGGAAGGGAAGAGGGAGAGGGAGGGAGGAGGAGGGAAGGGAGAAGGCAGACAGAAGGAGAAGGAGGGAGGAGGAGGAAGGAAGGAAAGGAGGGAGAGAGAAATTAATAGTTCCTGGTAGTTTTCCAGTTCCTGGTTACCATGAGCTCTACTCTTGCCCTTGGGTTCTGTGAGATACTCGGGATTTTTACAAACATTCTCCTGCCATTTTATTCTTTTGCCTAAGCTAGTGTGAAGGAGCTTCTGTTATTGATGAACAGCAGACCATTGACTAAGACTGCTAAAACCCACTTCTCCGCCTGGTTTTGAGCCCCCAAACAAAAGAACAGACCTTGACTCTTTCTGAATTAATGAAACACGGTTACAGATATTCAGAGGTGGACTCATCTATTCCACATTCATTTTACAGATGAAATAGCGGTGTCTGAGGAAGTGAAATCGCCCAAACCTTTCCACCGCATCACGAATCTTGGCTGTGCTCTAACAGCTACTTTCCTGGCATTGTAACTGAGGACGTGCACGCTCTCCCAGGCAAGGCTGGGACACAGCACACTCTGTGATGTCATCCCGATCATGGGTCACGGATCATTGTATCTCATAAGAGATGCGTCTGCTGCTAGCATGACAGCGGCTTCTGGTTTAGCAAATTACCTGGATACACGCCCCTTCCCAGAGGGAATCCACACCCTTGTAGGGGTTCTGGTGCAATGCTCTCAGGACCCCTCTCCAGAGGGTGAGCCACTTCAACGGGGTCCTAACAAGCCTCAACAGACAAATAAAATAGAGGCAGAACTATAACCTTGATCAGAAATGGAAAAGAGGAAAATGCCATTTTGCCACCTTAAAGTCTGTGTGTTTCTCTCTCAACAGCACCAGTGAGATGTTGCTGAAAGGAAGTTGTATGTGTTTTACTTAGAAATAGGGAGTATGAGGTGTGCCTGGGTGGCTTGTGCTCATGCACGAGCCCTCCCCCACTCGTGCTCCGTCTCTCTCTCTCTCTCTCTCTCTCTCTCTCTCTCTTTTTTAATTTTTTTAAATGTTTATTTATTTTTGAGACAGAGAGAGACAGAGCATGAGCAGGGGAGGGGCAGAGAGAGAAGGAGACACAGAATCCGAAGCAGGCTATCAGCACAGAGCCCGACGCGGGGCTCGAACTCACGAACTGTGAGATCATGACCTGAGCCGAAGTCGGACGCTTAACCGACAGAGCCACCCAGGCGCCCCATCTCTCTCTCTCTTATAAATAAATAGAAACATTAAAAAATGTTTTCCATGAAAAAAAAGAAGAAATAGAAAGTATGAGAAACTATTTTATTTATTTTTATTTTTTTTATTTTTTTTAATGTTTATTTATTTTTGAGGGAAAGAGACAGAGCATGAGTGTGAGAGGGGCAGAGAGAGAGGGACACAGAATCCGAAGCAGGCTCCAGGTTCTGAGCTGTCGGCACAGAGCCCGATGTGGGGCTCGAACTCACAGATCATGAAATCATGACCTGAGCTGAAGTCAGACGCCTAACCAACTGAGCCACCCAGGTGCCCCTATGAGAAACTATTTTAGATGAAAGTCAGGGCAAGGAGGGGAATGATTGAACCATATAGAATTTTGAAGTGTTTGAATAAAGAACTTAAAATAACCTCAAACTATTTCGGTTTCTTTGATGTATATGAAAGGGAAATATTTCAGGTGCGTTGGATCAGATAGACATGTTTTGAAGACAAATGCACCCAAACTCTGTAACCCAGAGCTTCCTCAAACTTTATTTTAATTAATTTATTTTTTAATTTTTTTAAATGTTTATTTATTTTTGACACAGAGAAAGAAAGAGACAGAGCATGATGGGGGAGGGACGGAGAAAGAGGGAGACACAGAATCCGAAGCGGGCTCCAGGCTCTGAGCTGTCAGCACAGAGCCCAATGCGGGGCTCGAACTCACGGACCGCGAGATCATGACCTGAGCCGAAGTCAGACACTTAACCGACTGAGCCACCCAGGCACCCCAAGGTGTCCCCTTTCTTTTTTTTTTTTAAAAATTTTTTTTCAACGTTTTTATTTATTTTGGGGACAGAGAGAGACAGAGCATGAACGGGGGAGGGGCAGAGAGAGAGGGAGACACAGAATCGGAAACAGGCTCCAGGCTCCGAGCCATCAGCCCAGAGCCTGACGTGGGGCTCGAACTCACGGACCGCGAGATCGTGACCTGGCTGAAGTCGGACGCTTAACTGACTGCGCCACCCAGGCGCCCCAGGTGTCCCCTTTCTTAAGTGTCTTAGGAAGGAGAGGGGGTAGCGCTCATCCCTCCCATGTTGCCCTCTTGGGTGTTGCTTCTCCAGATCCCAGACTCTGTTTACCTCTGCCATCACCGCTGTGACATATCACACACTTCTCTACCAGCCACCACCTCCTGGACCTCAGGGTCTACTGTGCCTCGAGATACCATATGACTGCCATGGGCTCAAAGGGTGAATGTGGAACCAGCCCTACTCACTCCCCTTTCTGCCCGACTCCTACCACATAACCACATAATCTGAAACAGATTTGCCAGAGGGGAGGGAGGGCTCCTTGAATGGATTTACAATGTGGGAGTAACTAAAAGGTTAAAATTACATGTTAGTGTCAGTCTTACTCCCAAAAGCCACAGAGGACTTGGAGGGGGGGGGGGCGCCCCGGAAGAGTCGGTTTCAGCAGGAGAATCTTGGTTGTGCTCAGCAGTTCCAAATTGGGCTCCTGAGACGTCCCAGCCACCATGGGGTTTGAATACGCCTTCTCTTGTCACCAACGCACGTCTCCCAAAGACAAACAGTGGTTCAGAGAGATCCAAGTCTAGATTCGTATAAAAAAGAGAAACAGGGGTGCCTGAGTGGCTCAGTCGGCTGGGCATCCGACTTCGGCTCAGGTCATGATCTCACTGTTTCGTGGGTTCGAGCCCCACGTCCAGCTCTGTGCTGACAGCTCAGAGGCCCTAATGTTTCTTCACCCTCAGGCTCCACAAAAGACCTGGCTGCAGTTCTGGAAAGACCACTGTCCTGTATGTGGAGCCTGAACACAGCCCTACACAGGATGCCTCACCGGACTCTGTCTAAATGGGAGAGAGGCAGAGTGATGTATTATCTTTCTGTCTAAGCAACTGACCTTCCCAGTTGCATTAGGAAAGCCAAGGTTCGAGCGAGTTGTGTAGACGTACTTTCCAGAATTAATTTCCATTGCATTATTGGCATACCCCTTCCATTAGTTAATAAGAATGGCCGAAGCAGAACTTGTGGAAGATTTTTCTCTCTAGATCTGTAGTTCTCAAAAAGGGGCAGGCTTGCTCTCCAGGGAACATTTGGTGACATCTGGAGACATTTTTGTTTGTCACAGGCTGGGGGGACTCCGGCAGGGGGTGGGGTGGGGGGGGGGAGGCTGCTGGCATCTAGTGGGGTAGAGGCCAGTGATATTGCTAAACACCCTACGACACTCACGGCCAACTCCCCACAAGAGAGAATTACCCAGATCCCAATATCAATAGTGCTGCTATTGAGAAACTCTGCTCTAAGTGCTTGGGAAAAATGAGGTTTTCCTTCATCTGTGACCAGTACTAACCAGCCTCCCACCCTCATGTCACTCCTGAATTTTACTTTTAAAATTCATCTGCTGATCTTCCTACAAATCATCTCCCAGAAGCAGCTTAAGAGTGATCATGGCATATACTGTGTACCAAGTTCTGGGACAAGGACTTTACATAATTCGTCTCACTATTGTCCCCATTTTTCAGGAGAGAACATTGAGGCCCCAGGCAGTTAAGTAAGTTGCAAATGTCCATAAAACTTAAAATCCCAGGGGCGCCTGGGTGGCGCAGTCGGTTAAGCGTCCGACTTCAGCCAGGTCACGATCTCGCGGTCCGTGAGTTCGAGCCCCGCGTCAGGCTCTGGGCTGATGGCTCAGAGCCTGGAGCCTGTTTCCGATTCTGTGTCTCCCTCTCTCTTTGCCCCTCCCCCGTTCATGCTCTGTCTCTCTCTGTCCCAAAAATAAATAAATGTTGGAAAAAAAAAAAAAACTTAAAATCCCAGAGGTGGGAATCAACCCAGAATTCCAAAGTTTCTGCTTTTGAACTCAGTGCCTTCCTTCCCTCCCTCCTTCCTTCCTTCCTCCTTTCTTTTTTAAAATAATCTCTACACTTAATGTGGGGCTCAAACTCACGACCCCAAGATCGAGAGTCACATGCTCTACTGACTAAGACAGCCAGGCACCCCGACTCAATGTCTTTCTAAGGAAACCAACAGTATTCAATTCATTAAGCAATTGTTTTATACCCGGAATTCTACTTTTCATAGTGAGAATTTTTCATCTTCTGACAAAAAGTATTTGTTACGTAAATATGTTTGTAACTATGGTCATCCGTCACTTAGAGCCGACTTCATAGATGGATTTAAAAACACATGTATTTTCTAAACTCCCTGCTTTCCAAGAAAAGCTATGTATTTTATATAGTTTAGTCTCAAATTTAAGGAAGCTTTTCATTTTTGGAACTTCCACACTAATGCATATAATGTTTTAAATGGTAGAACCAGAAGTTTACTCTATCTTGAGCTTCCCATATTAGAAAGAAAGAAAGCAAGCAAGCAACATTTTGTAACATTTACAAGAGCATACTGAATGTTTTTATTCATATGCGTGTCTCCTCCATTGTCTTGTATATTAGTTTTCTACTGCTACACAGCAGACTAAAACAAACTTAGCAACTTAAGAAAACACCCATTTATTAGCTCCCAGTTCTATAAATCAGAAGTTCCTGCACAGCCACTACTTAACTGAGTTCTCTGTTCAGGGTCTTTCAAGGCTGCCATCATGGTGTCGGTCAGGGCTGACTTCTCGCCTGGAGGCTCTGCAGAAAACCCGCCTTCAAACTCATGGAGGACATGGGCAGAATTCAGTTCAGACTGAAGTCTCATTTCCTTTCTGTCTGCTGGCCGGGAGTTGCTCTCAGCTCCTAGACTCCGCTGTGTGGTCCTTGCCAGATGGCCCCTTCCATCTCCAAGGTCATTTAGTGGAGAATCTCCCTGATGATGAATCTATCTCATGCTTTGACTCTCTGGGAAAAGCCTAGTCCTTTTTAAAGTGTCACCTGATTAAACCAGGCCCAGGAAGGGCAATCTCCCTATCTTAAGGTCAATTGATTGGAAATCTTAATTATATCTGTAAAATCCCTCACAGCAATACCTACATTAGTGTTTGAATCACCGGGAGAAGGTGTGAGTATACGAAGTTGGCATGGAGCTTGGGAATCGCCTGCCTAGTTTACAGTCTGCAAATTCCTTGAGGGCAAAAACTGGGCCTTGTGTGTCTGGTACCCAATAGATGCTCCATCAAAGGTCACTAAACCAAATTTTAAAGGAATTGGGAAATTCTGAAGTCAGGAGGTTGTTACACAGGAGCATTAACTTCAAGGTTAAGACAACTCCCATCAGGAAACAGATCAGTGCCCGGGATGCCTTTGGGCTGATCACCATCCTGACCTCTTCCCTTACCGAAAGATTAAGTGGAGTTTCTACTTTCTGTATGGGAATACAGCTCTGATTCAGTAAGGGAAGTCAAGGGAAAAAGAATCCCTATCCCAGAACTATGCCGGAGAACAATTTTCCAGAATCACACTTATTCTGTTGGGTAAGGCTGTATTCAGAGGGATGATGGTGTCATGAGCTTCCCTTAGCTGGTCTGCCAGCCCTTTGAGGGTGGAACAACACATTATTCTTATTTATATCCCTAGGGCTAGCACTGTGTCTGGTTCAGAGGACCAACTTTAAAGACAAAAGCTGATTGAACATTTGTAGAATGAATGCTATTCAACGTGTCTCTGCTAGTCGTCATTCAATTCCTCTGGGCGAGGGCCCTTCTGACGCATTTTTTGCAATCCAGCAATGCCAATGCCTGCCCCATTCCTGGCAGTGAGCATTCAACAGGTGCAATTGTTGGGCTGCGT